CTCGTAACGATGTCCCTTAGCTTAGCTAACGGTTGCTAAGGTTAGTGGGCGTTAACTAATGACTGGACTCTCTTCTCCCTCCAGTCGTTCGTCTGGAGTGTTTTATGTCTGCAGGTTTTCTGCTATCTTGTGAAAGAAAAGGATATTACAATGAGAGACGTTAATGAGCTGGAGGGACGTGACTAATTGCTGCAGTCAGAGGCAGAATGCATGTTTGGCAGGGTGGGATCTTATCTGGTCTTTTACAGCTGGACCTGCTGAAGCCGCAGCAGGCCGCGGAAACACCTGCTGATACTCCTGTTCCTCCCTCAGAAACCTGAGCAACAACAAGCTGAGAGATCTGAGAGAGGGCGCCTTCGACGGCGCCGCCGGCGTGCTGGAGCTGCTGCTAACCGGGAACAAGCTAACCACGCTGCAGGGACGCATGTTCAGGGGCCTGAGCGGCCTCAAGACCCTGTGAGTGTTACCGTACCGCGCTCTGTGTGTGTGTGTGTGTGTGTGTGGCGGGGCGAGCAGTAAATCTGTTTTCTGCCTCAAAGAGGGGACTTTCCCTGCAGGCGACGATTAAATCGTTAGCTTTTATTGGGAAGAACTGGCTGTGCTCTCTGGGTTAAACGGGCCGGCTGACATGAAAAGAACCCAGAACCGGTTTCAGAGACGGAACAGCTGCAGGAAGAGAGCAGAACCAGAACCAGAGCCGGAACAGAACCAGAGATGACAAATCCATTGATTTTTCATCTCTGGATGTGGAACCAGAACATAATTTCTTCACATTGACTCTTTACCGTCTCAACCGTTTCATTTACTGGCTGATTTTTCCATCTGATTCTGTTTATTCATCTCTTGTATTTCTGCCAGTTTTTATTCTGCAGGTCAAAACTACAAGGCCCATAATGCATTGCAGTGGACAATGCTGCGGTGCATTTAGCTGGCAGTGGGATCTGGGTGTGACACCTAGTTATTAATGCACAGCACTATAAGAAAAACTACTGGATTTAAAAAAAAAATCATTTTATCTTCAAATTTTATATTTTATTAAACTTTTTTCTCGTAAAAATATCTGCAATTTTTTTTATTTAACACAAATGGCTCAATTTTTTGACATTGAATATCAAACTATATTAGGAATAAAATTAGAGGTGCACCGATTGCAGTTTTCTGGCCGATCGCTAATTACCAACCTTTTAAAAAGCTCTACCTGATTCCGATTTTGGCCGATGCCAATTTTTCCGCCTGAAATGTTGCTCAATATAACAAGATAGTTGTTGAGTTGGCAACACTAGGGTCGTTATAGTCAGGGCCGTGCAGAGGCCACTAAGGGCCAGGTGCTCAAAAAAAAAGGGCCCATCTAACCTCCTTCTAGGACAGAATATTAAAGCCACTCAGTTTTCAGAGTTTAATAAACAATGATAATTACAAAATTGTGAAATATACAATCAAAGCTAAG